TAAATATTGACTTCCTGATGTCCCAGCTAGATTTTTAGAGAGTAGCTGTTTTTTACCTTGTGGGTAGGAACTTACTAAGAGCTTATGAGGTCTACAATGGCATTTACAAATCAGAGAAGATACGGTTTAGCTTCCCAACTATGACGTTAATTTTACACATAATGTGAATAAAAAAATATTGTCTTTCATTAAGAACAAAGAGAGAAACAAATATTGCCAATATTAATAATGAAGAGAGAAACAAATGTTGCCAACCTATCAAATACCTTTTGTAAACAATTGTTATCAACACCTGTCTATTTTGTGTTTTATCTATTGTGCCAAGTGTATTTGCAATTTTGCTGTTTCAATTAAGACCAATTTCTGAAAACGTGTACTTTTGTATAATACAACCCCCTATTTTGCCTTTAAAATCCATCCAAAATTTCTCATTATGCACAATATGATATTCCAAATTCTGCTGGGATTACAAGGACTATTCAAACTTTAAACTATGAAATGAATCATCTACTAAAAGTTGGTTTGAATCTCTTCATGTCAAGGTTCTCAAACTACAATATGAAAGAGGAAATTAAGATGAAAAGAATATTAGTAAAAATTTAATTATAATACAGCTTCATCTAAGAAAACCCAAATAATATTACTACTAATACTTCCAGTGCATATAAATAAAGATTGCAGTGCAGTAGGAGTTTGAAGAAAATAAAGAATGGCTATATGGTTACATTTGAATGACTGCAGTTGGTTTTCTTAGCCTAATCAGTAAGGCAGCTGTTGCAACTGCTACCAGAAGATTATGTTTGAGCTTAGGTAAAGGAACAAGATTTCAAATGTTGATTTTTAAAACAAACTTCTTAACTCATTTGAAAGATTAGCACAATACAATATCTCTCTAGCTATTTTTTCTATATTTCAGACCATTTTCCTGGTTCTGAGTGAAAGTTTAAATATATGTCCAATGTCTGAGTACTTTCAGCCTTCATAAGAGATTTTGTGAAAAATGATGAATCTGATTTAGCAAAAATCATAAGTGACATACCAAATATCTTTTTGATAATGGCTTATAAAAGCTGGAAGTAGTCATATGCATTGTGAAATTTATATTTGAACTTCAGAGAACCAGGAAAGGGGTCCAAAATAAAAAAGATTATAATAAATATATATATATATATATATATATATATATATATATATATATATATATATATATATTATAAACACACAAACACAGATATAAAACCTGCTATTAGACTTTAATTGATTAAATAGCAGAGCAAACTGGGTTCTCTAGCCTTGAGTGACAGCCACTTTAGGATAAGAATAACTCCAAATTCAAAACCATGGAGAAGGCAATAAGAAAATACTTTATCCTATTTCCCAATAAGCCATGGGTATTCATAGGTAGAAAAAGAAAGCTGTAGATAGCCATAACCAATTACAACCTAAAGGGACATGGAAAAAAATAGTTTGAAATCTAAGCACAATAGGAAAGATTAGGAACAAGTCTTTTCGGATAGGAAAAATAGCCACCATTAAAAAAAAAAAAAAAAAAAAAATTATAATAACCCGAATCCCAAGAGATTTAAATGGAAATATAAAATTATTTTTCTTGAAATTGCCCACACAAAATCTTTTGGTGTTGTGCCTTTTCAGAAGGTTAATGACCATAGCTCTCCACGACTTCCTATCCTTTGCAGCTCTCCACAATGTTTGTTCTCTAACTATCCCTTTCAGTGCATGTTCTGACATCTATTACACAAGCTCATTAGGTATGTTACTTGCTGTTTCTCCCCTCCTTGCTTTCAGTATATCCTGTGAGTGTCAGATTCTCCAAGCCCGCTTTTCTATATCTCGGAAAGTTCAATTGTCTCATTCTAAGCATAATGTCCTCTTTTTTCTCCCACATGTGGTATGATAATAAATGGTAAACATTTTGTCTTTACTGTGTCATGCTTTGGTCTCATTGACTCAGTTTAAGATGTCTGGGAATTTTTCATGAAAATATTCTTCCAAAGCAAATGTTTTATATACCATAAATATATAATTCATTAACTTAATTTGATGTTCCATTACTGACAAAAATCTGGAGCTGATTTAGATAAGTGAAATCTCAATGGTTTTTGGGACTAACAAGCAAAAGTTGGCTTCTACACAAGATCAATTTATATACATGAATATATAGGATATTATTAACAATGAAATCTGTGTCTAGTACCAAAGTGATGAAGTTTTTTTTTTTTTTTTGATTGATTTGCATTGTATGGTCTTTTGTTGCAGAAATAGATCAAGTCAAGGTCAATAAATCAATAGGACCAACTTAAAGCACTTTTCATAGACAACATAAAAAAGATCTATCCCCAGAAAAAGATTACACTACTCAAAATGTTTAATAAAAGGAAAAATTCTGTGATAAGGAAGGGTGCTGAGGGCTACTAAATCAGAGGCTCACTCTGAATACAGAAATGTTTCTCAGTCACAATTCATCCAAAGTAGGACAGACTGAGATCTCTAGCTTTGATTGGCATCCAGTCTAGAAGAAAGATAAACCTGAATTCAAAATTCTAGCTACCATGTACTTGCTACAGAAACCATAGAAGCAATACTATCAGGTGTTTACTGGTACTAAGAAGAAAGAGAGCCCTCAGAACAAAGAATACTAATGCTAGACTAGAGTATTTCCAAACAAACTATATTGTAAATGTTAGTTAATTGTAAGTGGTATGTAAATAAGATTTTTATAACACAGCTAACATTAATTAAAAATTAAAATTGTCATTGGTATTTGAAATAACTGCATATTTTTATGAAATTTTGACAGGAGATAGCTTTGTGTGCTGAAAATTATTTCTAAAAAACAAAAAAAAAAAAAAAAAATTAAAAAATGATCCAAAATCAGTATTTAAAGCTGAACAATATTTTCACCAGAAGAATATTTTTAAGATCATAACCTTTTTATAATTTTTTTAACCGAAAAACAAATACTGATTTTGTTTGATGCAAGAAAAAAAATGGTTGGAAAACATTTCTCTTTGCACTGGAATTATTCCTTACAACAACAGTAACACTATCAACTTTCTTTCTGAAGAGTCATTTATTCCAAGATGTTAAATTGCTAAATTAAATTTTCTAAAATTGTTCCTGTAAAAATAAAAATGGTATAGAATGAACTAAGAAACATTAACCATTTACAATACATTCTTCCTTGCTAGGCTTCAAAAAACATTCTTAATTCTTAGCTTGTATCAGTATCTTCATTAAAAAAAAAATATTTATTGGTTTGAAGACGAAGAGTAAGACAAAAGAAAAATATTTTTTTCATTAAACAAGTTTTAAAGCAAATATAAAGAAACTTTTCAAGATATTTTTGACTGAGGCAATCAACCAAGCTTTTTAAAAATATTATAGCAGTGGAAAAGATCACTTGAAACAGAATAACAAAGTAAGAATGGATACAAAAATACTTTTTCCAGTGGTATAAAAATTGGAAATATATTTTTTTGCTTTTGCACTTTGAAATTGGGATAATAAATTATAATTTTTTTCACTTAGGGTTAGTGCTTCTTATGACTTTTATTTTATGATTTTTTTTTTTTTTTTAGTTTCTAAAAATTTGTTAAAATGTTAAGTAAAAAGTAAAAAACAAAAATTAAAAAAAAAAAGAAAGAAAATCAATCATATGATAAAAATTATGATTGATTTTTTTTTATGTTAAAAAAATGCTTTGATCTTGCTTGCTCTTTATTGGCGAGTAGTATTTCTTTTTTTTATACTTTTAGTTTTTTTTTTTTAATTTCATTTGGGTCCTTTTTTAATTCTTTAATACAAAAAATAATTATTGCAGTGTATTTAATTTTTCGGAAGTTATTTAAATAAAATTGTTAAAATTGATAAGCTGAAAAAAAAAAAAAAAAAAAAAAAACTTTTTTTAGCAATTTATTTCAAGAATTATTTTTTAAAAATATATTATTATTACTTACTTACTTACTTACTTACTTACTTACTTACTTACTTACTTACTTTTCAGATTGCATAATCTTTTTATTAAATTATGAAGATAAACTTAAAAAGATTCAATTACAATTTTAAATTTACGATGTTAATTTTTTATTTTTTTTTACGTGTAATTTGGAGAATTCTGAGTATTTGTAATTAATTGTTAATGATTATAATTACAATATTAATTTGCTAATTCAAAGATATTTTCAATAAAACTTATCAATGAATTTATAATAGAGTCTAAAAACTAATTTACGTTTTTTATTGTTCATTTTTAAAGTTAAAAAAGTTTTAAAAAACTCAACTTTTCTTTTATCACTCTGAGATTCGACATTTTTAGTTTTTATTTTTATAATAAATTATTCCTTTGTTTCATTTTCTTTTTTGCTGTAATTTGCCAAATTAAGACTTTTTTGAAAATAATTTGTAACCTTTCTTGCAGTTTTTAAAGAATTCATAGTTTACTTTTTTTAGTTTTTAAAGAATTTTAAAACGGTTCGGATTTATAACTTTCAATTTAATACTTTTTTTTGTACTGTACTCAAATGTTAAAAAATTTCATGAATTATAGATCAATTGAATTTCAAAACTATTTAATTCGAACAAATGCTAAAATTACAATTTGTTCTAAGATGAAAAAGTTCATGATTTGGCGCTCTAACTGATTTTTAAAGGCCATTTATGAAGATCAATCAACACTCATCAATAAAAAGCAGAGATTGATATTTGGATAAAGAAAATAGCTCTAAGAATATTTATACATTCTAAACCCAAAACATATTTGTATTTTATTTTATTTACAAACAGAGTTAATTTCTAAAACACCTTTTTAAAATAAAATATCAACATGGCTACTTAAGTAGATAAAAAACTGGTGTTGGAAGTTTAACAAAGAGATATACAAAAAGAGATTTTTTTAAATCAATTTGGTTAAAAATTCCACTTGATTTGAGAGATGGAGAAAAAAAAATTAAATTTAAAAAAAAATAAATTAAAAAACTTACCTTCTAGCAAGTGTAACAAATCCGGCCAATTGGAGTAAAAGCAAAACAGCTTTTCCACCCATGATGCCAACTTTAGAATTGAAAGTTTCCCGTTTTTGTTTTTTTGTTTTGTTTTGTTTTTCTTTCAGTTCAACTCGGACGGTAATTTGAGATCCAGCAACAGAAAGAAACAGGAATGACGACGGTAGTCAGACTGGCCCGTTTCTTCCTCCAAGAAGCACTTACTGATGATAACAGACCTAACCACAATCAATGGCTTGAGTCTGCCCGGCTTCTTCTTCCACTGCTTCTTTCCTCTAACTCTGCTGGTTACCAGAGATTCATTCCCTCCACTTCATCCAGTAGTCAAGTTGGTACTGACAATGCCAACACGGAAAACCTGACAGTAACAAGAGTTAAAAAAAAAATAAACAATTTTATTTTTAAAATATACTTACAGAGTTTAGGAGAGAAAAAAAAACACAGCTGATTACAGACGTTAGAGATTTTATTTCTAGAATTATAATTATCTTACATTTAAAAATGTAACAATTAATCAAGAAATATTTTTTAAAAATCATAATAATTAAAAATTAATTTCATATTATAAAAAATTTATTTTTCAAACTTTAAGTATTAAAAATTTTAATTCTAATTGAGGAAGTTTTAATTAAATTACAGAAATTGAGTGTTTTTTGAAGGAATGCGTTCTTGACTTTTGAGTTGATCTATTTTTCAAAGATGACTATTTTTGAATCGTAGTATTTCAACCAGTGCATGATGATCAAAGCATCTATTTTGGTTTTTAAAAATTCTTTCATCAATGTTTCGTGATTTTTGAATAACTTAATCAATACTACTTTTTTGGTTTCCACTTTCCAGAAAACCTGTGCATAATTCGTTCGTTAATCAATAAATATTTAAAAATGCATATTCTTTTAATTTACTTGATATTTTAAAAAAAATAATTTTATTCATTTGCATGTAAAAGTAAAAGCTTAAGTAAAAATAGTAATAATAGTGTTGATGCAAATAAGACGAACAAAATAAACTTCAAGTCAAAATGTCCATACACAATTTTAAAGAATTTTTTTTATAAAATACAGAACAAATGAAAATATGTGCTTTTTGTTTTTAGATTTGTGAAAATTTGAAAAAAAATACTTAGTAGACTTAACGAAGTTTAACCTGATATGGAGTCGAGGTCTGGTAGTAGAGCACTTAGTGAGGATTGCATTCACTCTAAAAATGCAACGGTCAATGAGACTGTTTAGTGTTTATTTTTACTTTTTAGTGGTTGTTTAGCATCGCTCTACAGCAGGGGCACTCCAAACAGAGATCAGTTATCAGTCTGGGACAAGGCCACAAATAGTAGAGTACGTACTATCCACACTGTGTGCTCCTCACGACTTAAAAAAATAGAACGCGACAAGATAAATGTACAAAGTACCAATAAAAAAATAACGCTATCTCTTGCATTTTTTATTTATTGGGTACTTTTTGTAACAACTAACAGCTAAGAATTCCTATATAATTTTGAATTGAACCCATGAAAATCAGACACTCACATCACATTCATTTGAGTTGAATGTCGCTAAAAAAAAAACAAATGTAAAAGTAAAAAGATCAGATGATCTTAGATTTTTTTTGTTTGTTATGGGATATTTTTATTAAATTTACATAGGGAGAAAAGTGTATATTTTCAATTTTCATAAAGTTTACTTACTGGCGCATTTTTAGCTTATGGGCATCATGCGTCTCTTTTTCATAATTCCATCAACATAGCAGAAATTAAATACCTCCGATATAATGGTAGACATCTAAATTTAAGACTACTCCATTGCCACTCTCTACCATTATGTAGGAGGTATTTCTGCCGCACCCTGTATTATATGCGTACGTACACATTCAATAATTCCATCAATAAAAATTAAAAACAACTTTTTTTTTAGTCCAATGAATCCATACCATAGAGGACGAAACTAGTCACAGAATTTTTCCACTTTGTCAGTATTGGCTTTTGTTCTGAGAGAAAGAAATTTACTCTTCTTATACAACTTGTTCGCTTATTTTTCATTAAGTTGCATGGAACTACCACCAGGAAACATGATGGTGTAAATAAATAAATTAAAAATAAAATAGTGAGAAAGAGAGAGACAAAAAAACATATCTTCCCAAACTTTTTTAAACATGGTCTAAAAAAGGATCCGAAATGTTGCTTTCTCAAATTCTTAGATACTTCTTCTTCTATGTGCATTGTGCCTTCAGGGCGTTGGCGTTCATGGCTCTCCACTTTTTCCTGTCCTTAGTAGCTAAAATAAATGTCTTTTTGTTATCTTAGTTAAAAAAAAGTAAAACCGTGTTTGTTCTGCCATCCATCTGAAGCACGCTAGGCATGTGTTGTTTTCCTCTGTACCGTTTGCCTTCCTTCACAATCTGTTCTGTGAGTGTCAAATTTTCCAAGCCCTCTTTCTGTGCTCTAAAAATTTCAATTCTTTCTTCCTGATGTTAAGTAAGTGTCCTTTTTGTTTCCATTTTCTCTAAAATTTCATCGCTGTTCACATGTTCGGTTCATGGTATTCTCAGCATCCTTCTGTAGAACCACGTTTGTGTTGCTTCAAGTCTCTTCATCTGTGAATAGATTGTCTAGCACTCACTCACTGTCATAGGAGGCCGCTGTCAGAAAGGTGGTCCAAAGGTTCTTCTTAATCTTCTTATCTGTTTTTTTTGTTTCGTTTTTTGACATGACAAACAAATTTACTATAAAAATTCCGTTTTAGTTCCTAACAAATTTTGTTTTTCCGTTTTAAGAAATTCTTTCCTAAAAGTAATTTAATTTAATACAAAAATATATTGAATTTTTTAAAATTTTACATTGAAATTGAACATTTTTAAATGATCTTATAATATCGGACACAAAGTCAGGGTCCAGTGTGGCATTAACATTTGATTAATAACATTAAAATGTAAATCAAACCCCTATTTTAAAACCACTATGTTTGTTTCCGCTTTCTAGGTAATGAAGAGCTTCTCAAAGAATTCATGGAAGCAGTAAAAACCGGCATTGGAGAGAAATGATCTTTTCGTAGCTAAAACTTCTTTGAGCCTAACCAAATCTTTAGCGAAAGAAAAAAAAACACCTATTTTAAAATTTAAAGAAAAAAATAAAGTTGATATAATGAAAAACACATTAAAAATACATTAAAAATTGTTTTACGTTTTTAATTTATTGATGAGATGCAACCATGAATCCAAAGAAAACCTGATTTATTTTTACTCAGTTCAACTTTAATTTAAGAAAAAAAAAAAAAAAGATGTAAGAAGCAATTTTACAATTTTGCTCCGAGAACCAAACTATTCATTTATCAACTGATTATCTTTCGTTTTTTTTTAATTAACATTTCTTTCTGGGACTGCCAGTCATCGCAAAAAAGTAATTAAAAAGAGCTACGTGTATCAATCAAAGACGCATTTGGTAGTAAAATAAGGGAAGCGAAGTTAACGAAGACTGTGATTTTGATTTGGTAATAAAATCATCACCTGCGGCTTCAAACTTAACAATGGCAACACAACAATCCCCCCCCCACACACACACAAAGAAAAAAAAGAAAAGAAGTTGTCATTAATCATCATAAATTGCGGTATGTCCAGGTAATGTAAGCTATCAATAATCGTTTTATTTTATTTTCTTTTGTTTGTGTGTGTATGAGAGAGAGAGAGAGAGAGACAGAAGTATTGTCAGCTCATAAAGACATTATTATGCAAGAAACTTAAAAACCTATAATAAAAATTCGAAACTGTGGCCGATGTGGTGTAAAATTTACACCACACAAGCTACAGTATGAGTAATAGATCATGATCATCATCAATCCCTTGGCTGATTTCAATCGGCGTAGCGGGGAGGTGGGGATAAGAAGAAATTGACTTTGATTTTTCTTCCTTATCCTTTCAGTGGGTTTTTCAGATAGTCTGTCGACAGCCAAAGACTACAGAATATGGTGTCGGTTGCCCCCAGTACACTAAAAATCCTCGGGTTTTGAATTCAGAGTTGTCCTTCTCCTAAACTGGTTGCCAACCAAGGCTATAGTCTATCCTGCTATTTACTCACAGCTGGGATACATTCCCCAAGGGTATTAGCAAATAAGTGAATGTAATGAATTCACTTCGAATTCGGGTTTTCTGATTCATCAATCCGACTCGCTATCTATTACTCTACAACTGTTGTAATGAATAGCAACTAGTAATGAGAATTCGGGGAGCCGAGTTCGAATTCCAGTCTGGTTCACTACATTTATTTACGCGCAAATACTTTTCATTTCTTTTCCCCAGCAAGCTACACGTGATACACGCTTAGGTGATCATGTCTCTTTCGATTCATGACATATGACGCAGGATTTCCCCCAGTAGGCTGTCGTTTCTTTTTACGGTAGACTGGTTGCCTACCAAGGCTATATGTTTTCTTTTCTCCCCAGTTATTCACCCTATAGCTTACTGTGGGAAATCCTCTGCCTAGTCAGTCATGAACCGAAAGAGAATGATCGCTTAACTGATTAACCGGCTCGAGTCTTGAAAACTATGCTTAAGCGATAAAGTTAGTCACTAGCATACGAACTGGCATTTTTATCTTCCGAAGTGTAAAAGGTTAAAAAAAATCATAATGTCCTGTAAAAGAAAGTGGCCAACTAAGTGACTGCGATAGTATTTTCTACCCCTGCCAGAGATCAGAGTTCGAACCTAAGTAAGGAAATTCTGTAATGCTGTTCTACTAGGAAACTAGATGCATGCCAATGACATACCAAAGTATTTCCTTACCGTCAGTCTTATGTCGCGTGTGGCTCTGCTTAACGAAAAAAAATTTTGGTACATAGAAGAAAAAATAATATCGTTTTTTTATTTTTTATTTGTTTTACTTTTTGATTTAAGATTTTATCTTCTTAATTTTATTTCTCTATTTTTTAATCTTTAGAGACTAGATACCATGAGACTTAAAAATAAAGTTAATAATGACTATAGAACATATGAATATTAATATGAAACCATGTAACATTTCTGGATGAATGGCAACCATACCATTGTGGTGGAATTTTTACTGCGTGGTCACGCGATCCTTGAAAAAAAATCAATAACGTGTTCGGGAAATAAAAATAAATACGATATCCTTAACCGTCATTCGTGAGATGTTAAAAGAAATTTATATATAATTCTAAATGCCGTCATAGTCATCGTTGTTGTAATTCTTGCCGTTTTATGGACACCTTTACTTTCCAATAAGTTCATATTGAAATCCTAGCACAAAACGATTGAGAAGTTACAGAGAGGTGTCAAATAGTTCAGTTATCAGTATGAAAAACAGAATCGTTTGAAGCGAGTTCGAATTTAGGTTACTTATGTTCACATAGT